GGGTTGAGGCGTCGGGTTAGTTGCCCACTCTGGGAAAAACCAACCTACTATGAAAAAGCAAAGAAACAGAAAACCAAACATCACCCCCCCCCCCCCCAATGTTGACGACCCCCGCAAACGTATAAAAGAACCACGATCTGCGAATCTGCACTTGGAATGTGCGCACGTTGTACAGAACAGGCGCATTGTTCGCTTTGGCGGATATACTCAAGAAGTACACAGCCGATATTATTGCCTTACAGAAAATGCGATGGAAAGGGACTGTCGTAAGTAAATCAGAAGATTACGCACTGTATTATAGCTGCCATGAAATGAGACGCGAATTTGTCTGCGGATTTATGGTTAACAGGAGAATAAAAGACCTCGTCTCCAGATTCACTCCAATAGATGAACGAATTGCTATAATCCGCATAAAAGCGAAGTTATTCTACATCAGTCTCATTTGCGCCCATGCTCCGACCGAAGATAAAGATGAACAGACCAAAGACGTATTTTACGAGCGCCTAGAAACAGCATATGATCGTTGCCCTGGCAATGACATTAAAAAACTTTTTTATGAGATTTTAATGCAAAAATCGGAAGGCCCCACCGTCGGAAAATTCAGCCTCCATGAAGAAACATCAGACAACGACATGAGGTTGATTGACTTCGCGGCAGCAAAAAACATGGTAGTAAGCAGCACCAGATTCAAGCATCTCAATATCAAACACAAGGCCATTTGGATTTCTCCCGATCGAACAACGAGAAATCAAATTGATGATGTTGTGATAGACAGAAGGCATTCATGCAGTGTTTTAGACGTCCGATCGATCCGGGGAACGAATATCGATTCGAACCATTACCTTTTGGCAGCCAAGGTACGCACCCGTCTTAATGTTGCAGGTGCGATCTAATATAACACGGAAATTTGACGTCGAAAAGCTGCAAGCACAACAGGTAGCAGAAACATACTCCGCTCAACTTACCCAACTGCTTGCCGAAAGCACCCTTTGTCCCGATAATATTATAGAAGCACAATGGCAGAGAATTGCACACTCCCTACAAACAGCAGCAAAAGCCACACTTGGGTACCAAAGACCACCATCAAGAAATCCGTGGTACGACCAGGGGTGTCGTAATGATACTGATATGAAAAACGCAGCGTATATGGCAACCTTGCGGACAGCAGCAACACGTAATGCGATGGTGAACTATCGGGAGAAAAGGAGAGAGGAGAAACGTATTTTCAGAAAAAAGAACAAGAAACACGTGAGTGTGAGCAAATCGAGATGTGCAGGAGTCATAATGAAGTCCCAAATTCTACCAATGGGTAAAACACCAAACCGAAGGCTTTGGTGCAGGCGTATCTTCCTGTAGAGATAAAGAAGGAAACCTGGTGACAGATGCAGACAGGGTACTGAGGATCTGGAAGGAGCATTTTGAAAAAAACTTCTGGTATCAAATAGTAGCAGTGAAGTGGATACCCCAGTAGCAATAATAGATGACGGTATATAGTGTATACCAACTAGCCAAGATGAAGTCAGAATAGCAATCAATCGGCTGAAGAATAATAAAGCAGCAGGTGCCGACGGGTTACAAGCCGAATTATCGCATATAAAGTGCTATCCAGCGTAAATATTCTTTAAAAAATCCACTACTTTGGACATTAGGGACTTTGGTACACATCTAAATCTAGACCGATTTTGAGGAAACTCAACACACATCATTCTAGACATAATTCATTACGCTTTGCCAAATTTCGTGCAAATCGAAAGATATATAGGGACTTTGGTGCTCTATTTACCTAAAATCGGACGAAAATATATATGGGAGCTATATCTAAATCTGAACAGATTTTCAGGAAACTCAACACACATCATTCTTGACCTAATTCATTACGCTGTGTAATGAATGCTATATAAGGACTTTGGTGCCTATATCGGACGAAAATATATATTGTAGCTATATCTAAATCTGGCCCGATTTTCAACAATTTCAATAGGGTTCGTCCTTAGGCCAAATAAATGACTTGTGCCAAATTTCATCCAAATCGGTTCATAAATGAGATATATATTGCATAAAGCTCAGAAAGTGATTCTATGCATATTCTCAAAATGGATATCGTGTTTCCTTTTTGCATGTCACAAACATATGCACAAAGACATAATACCCTGTACCACTGTGTGGTGAAGGGTATAATAAAGTTTTTGGCCCATATAATCCCCTAAATATTAACAGATCTTTACCCAAAGCTATAGGGGTCTTCATTGGCCAGAACCCACCCTACACGCAAAATTTCGTAAAGATTGGTCCATAACTGTGGCCTGTATCGTGTTTACAAATTATAATGGACAGACGGACAGCCGGACGGACACACATGTATAGATCGACTCAGCTAGTCGAGATATGACGATCGGTATACTTAAAGGTGGGTCTAGTAGCAATATTTCGTTTCGTTACAAACTCTTGGGGCTGCACAAAGCTATAATACCTTACATCATAGTGTAGGGTATAAAAATCCACGCCTATAAATTTTCTTTGAAAAAATATTTAAAACCAGTGAGCGAAGCAGTATAGTCGGACGGGGCCGACCATACGATACCCTACACAACTACCATGGAACTCTAACTTTCTTCGGATGTTTATTCCAAGCCTGGGCAATATTTCGTGATATTTGCTCCCTCTAGCCTCTTTAGAGGTCAACAGAACCTCTTCCTTACACTGACATATTTTCCGAATATTACTAATATTCAGTACAGCCTTTCTAATTAATTGTCCAGATTCCCTTCACTGTGTTTTGTGTTGTGATGTTCGGCCTATTATTGGCATCGACTCGAAAAAAACACAAAAAGTAAGTATTCGGTCCACTTCACACCATAATTATAATCTGCTCATCACCGAAAGTTATAGGCGTTGTCCTTGACCATAACTGGATCCTCATGAACAATTTCAAAGCGATCCGCGCTATATTTCCGCACTATAGATTGGTAATAGGTTACTAAAAAATATCTGAGTACGTAAGCACCTGTAATTTTTTTAAGTGTAACTCCCAAATCCGAGTACATACGACCATATAATTGGTATCAATTTAAAGGTCAAGCACTCCTCTTGGATATACTATCAACTTCTCGGGTCTATGTGTTTCAGGAGTAAATATATTCCCTATAGAATTTAAATTTTGTCATTTTTCACACAAAAGTCAGGGTTCATTTGACCCACTAAATATTGACCGATATTTATCAAAACAGGCATGCTTATTCTCTGGCCCGATCCTTTTCTCCACGCAAAATTTCGCGGTGTTTGGGCCATAATTGCGGCCTCTGGAGCGACCAGAAAAACCGACAAAAATAAAGTTTTTGGTCCATTTCATCCCCTAAATATTAACCGATCTTTACCAAAAACAATAGGGATCTTCATTGGCCAGAACCCATCCTACATGCAAAATTTCGTGAAGATTGGTCCATAACTGTGGCCTGTATCGTGTTTACAAATTATAATGGACAGACGGACGGACGGACGGACACACATGTCTAGATCGACTCAGCTAGTCGAGATATGACGATCGGTATACTTAAAGGTGTGTCTAGGACCAATATTTCGCGGCGTTACAAACTTTTGGGGCTGCACAAAGCTATAATACCCTGACAACATTGTTGTGTAGGGTATAAAAACGCCTAGAAAAAGTACTTGCACATTTCTTTCATGAAAAAATATTTTTAAAAATCCCCGCTTATAAAAATAGTCATTAAAAATCCACTTTTTGTGTATTCCAAAAAATAGTTAATATCCCTAAATTCCCCAAATTTCCCTTTGTTGCGACATCTATCGGTAACGTCGTAAACTATGCCTTATGGCATGCAATGTTAAAATTTAGCTAAGTCGACAACCATATGATAGCCAATGTCAGAAAACGGTTATAGTTGGCGCCAGTGTATACAATCTGTGTCATTTAAACGACCAGGTGTTTTTTAGGGGTACAGGAATTTATTGATAGTGGAGGATAACTTCTGCTATAAATAGAAGAGCAGGACCTCTCCTATTGACCTCTCCTCTACTACAAATTGAAGGCCTCTTCTTGACTTTCCCAATTTGAAAACATTTCTACATTGTCATTACCCCCCTCCCCACTAATTGATAACATGAACAGGTGATACCTGCCGTATGTTGCCATGAGCCCTCACATTAAAAAAAAAAACATTTCAAAAGTTTAACTCATTGGTCAACTATTCCGTTTATTTTTTCAAACACTTCTCTCATGATCAAGGTTCGAGTCTCGTCATCTAGCTTCGTAATCAGTGCGACGGACACGTCGATTAGCCATAAATTGGGAATTTCGTTTCACAATTAGATTTACTCGCACATGTAGTCGGAGCCAATACAGTCTTATCAAAAAAAAAAAATAGATTTCGATTTTGGGGCAGTGAGCATCGGTGTTAACAGTATCGCCGCCTCAGTTTGTTTTAGATGCCGGGAGACTAAAGAACTCAAAAACTTAAGAACGAACAAATAAAATCAAAATCTAATCAGACTGTTTTATTACCGAGCAAGAGAGGAAGATGTTATCATAGTTCCGACAAAGAAAAAAAATTAAAATATTTTGCAAAAATAGTTGGTGTTTTTTTTTTTAATTTTTGAGACACAAAAACAACTTCCCAGACTTAAGTCAAGGGCTGGCAAGCAATTGCGGATTTGAAAAGTCATTAAAAGCCATAAACAAAGAATAAAAAAAACGAAAATAGTTTATAAATAAATAATAAACTTATCTGTGATATACTTCTATAAATATTACCAAATTTTCCCGCAAACAAAATAAATATCGTAATTTTGTAATCAAGGTAATATTTTGAAACGGCTAGAATTAGATTTTTCTATTGGTATGTCATCCACTGTGCCTTCTTTGCTGTGTGAAATCATTTTCAGTGACTTGATCTTTTTTGTTCTAGGTTCAAAATTCATAAATCTTCTATGCAAATCTAACCTGAGTCCAGATTATCAAAACAAAAAAACAAGACAAGACAAAACCAAAAATATATAGCATGATGTCACGTACAGTACGGTAAGTTATAACCTGCAATTGTGTTGCGATTTCTATACATATTTTTTTTAAATTTTAAAAAATTCTATAAAATTTAATTTTTTTACGATTGGGAACTTCTGGCTGGTCCCATTCCCATTCGAAGTTACTACAATCTTATATTTACCATTCAAAGCGGTAAACAGAACTCAAAAAAAAAATTGTACAAACACGTTGGGCGCCACTGGTGCTTGAAGTTCTAGTTCGGTAATTCAAAGATCCTTGTTAGAACTCTAGAGCGCAGCTATTTTTTATACCCTTCACCACACTGAGGTGCAGGGTATTATGACTTTGTGTATATGTTTGTAACAGGCATAAGGAAACGAGATAGACACATGGTTCCTTTTGAGAATATGCATAGAAACACTTTCTAAGTCGATTTATGCATGTCCGCATTTATGATCCGAATTGGATGAAATTTGGCACAAGTCATTTATTTGGCCCAAGGACGAACCCTATTGAAATTGGGAAAAATCGGTTCAGATTTAGATATAGCTCCCATATATATTTTCGTCCGATTTAAGGTAAATGGTGTACCAAAGCCCCTATATATCTTTCGATTTACACAAAATTTGGCATAGTGTACTGAATTAGGTCTAGAACGATGTGTGTTAAGTTTCCTGAAAATCGGTTCAGAATTAGATATAGCTCCCATATATATTTTCGTCCGATTTAAGGTAAATGATGCACCAAAGTCCCTATATATCTTTCGATTTGCACGAAATTTGGCACAACGTACTAAATTAAGCCTAAAATGATGTGTGTTAAGTTTCGTGAAAATCGGTTAAGAATTAGATGTAGCTCCCATATATATTTTCGTCCGATTTAAGGTAAATGGTGTACCAAAGACTCTATATATCATTCGATATGCACGAAATTTGTCACAGCGTACTAACTTAAGCCTAAAATGATGTGTGCTTTGTTTCGTGAAAATCGGTTCAGAATTAGATATAGCTCCCATATATATTTTCGTCCGATTTAAGGTAAATGATGCACCAAAGACCCTATATATCTTTCGATTTGCACGAAATTTGGCAAAGCGTACTGAATTAGGTCTAGAATGATGTGTATTAAGTTTTCTGAAAATCGGTCCAGATTTAGATATAGCTCCCATACATATTTTCGTCCGATTTAAGGTGCATGCATTTAAGGTGCATGGAGCATGCTTATGCAGCACAATGTGACACACCAATAAAAAAATGCTACAATCTTTCAATACAACCAATTTCATTGGGCTCCATCGTAACATAGAATTGGATTTTGGCGTGATTTGTTTTTAATAATTTTTTATATTTATCTATTTTTCCTTGCAGATATTTCAAATTAATTTACATGGCTGCTGGCATACTGATGAGCAATGCCGATATTTGTGAAACGGTCGATTCCATACAAATTGCACCACGTGTCGAAATGAAAGATAAACAACAACAACAAATTGTAAAAAAGACACATCGTTACGCCATCGAAGATGCGGGCGAGCCAATGAATGAAAAGAAAAACGGGACTAAGAAGAAGGAAACAAGTGGATGGTTACCCAGGTTGAGTTTAACGGAAATGGTCGATCGTATTAAGAGCCGTATACGTCCTCATCTGCCAGGCTTCAGTTTGTGGACATTGCCGAATATAGTCATCGACTATTCAACAAATCTTATTTGTCGTAAATTTATAATCAACAGTGACTGTGATCTTATTTATAAATGAATTTATGTCATAAAGAAAAAATATATATAAATTAATTAAAGTAATAAATTATAATTAATTACATTCTAAAATTAATAATAAAATTTGTAATAAAGCCTTTAAAAAATAAGAAATTTTTAAAAATCAGGGTCTTTTTATCGGTGTAGGTTAAAAAAAATATTTTTTGGCTATTTAAAGGCATGGCGTGGATTTGTGAAAAATATATTTCTTAGCCTATTTATAGGCGTGGATTTGCGAAACATATTTTTCTTAGCCTATTTATAGGCAGTGGCGTAGGGGATGATAGATACCAAGCAACGACTCTGATTTGCTTTAACATGGCGAAGTCCAGGCTTATCTTGGTCCTCTTTCATCTCAATTGTGGACACTGACCTCCCCTTGGTGCCACCTGGGGTAGCTATTTCCATCACCCTATGAAATAGTGAGCTAATATGTGCCGCGAGTTCACCCATAAGAACTATAAAAAATGGGTTAAGGCGTCGGGTTAGTTGCCCACTCTAGGAAAACCCAACCTACTATGAAAAAGCAAAGAAAACTCCCCTAATGTTGACGACACCGCAAACGCATAAAGGATCACGATCTGCGAATCTGCACTTGGAATGTGCGCACCTTGTACAGAACAGGCGCAGTGTTCGCTTTGGCAGATGTACTCAAGAAGTACAAAGCCGATATTGTTGCCTTACAGGAAATGCGATGGAAAGGGATGATTACGCCTTGTATTATAGCTGCCATGAAACGAGACGTGAATTTGGCTGCGGATTTATGGTTAATAGGAGAATAAAAGACCTCGTCTCCAGATTCACTCCAGTAGATGAGCGAATTGATATAATCCGTATAAAAGCGAAGTTCTTCTACATCAGTCTCATTTGCGACCATGCTCCGAACGAAGACAAAGATCAGCAGACCAAATATATATTTTACGAGCGCCTACAGCATATGATCGTTACCCTGGCCATGACATTAAAATTCTGCTAGGAGATTTTAATGTAAAAATCGGAAGGGAAATTTCGGAAAATTCAGCCTCCATGAAGAAACATCAGACAACGGCATGAGGTTGATTGACCTCGCGGCAGCAAAAAACATGGTAGTTAGCAGCACGAGATTCAAGCATTTCGATACACACAAGACCACTTGGATTTCTCCCGATCGAACAACGAAATCGATCAAATCGATCATGTTGTGATAGACGGAAGGCATTCATCCCGTGTTTTAGACGTCCGATTGATCCGAATAGCGAATATGGATTCGGACCATTACCTTGTGGCAGCCAAGGTACGCTCCCGTCTTAATGTAGCCGCAAAGGTGCGATCTAATGTAACACGGAAATTTGACGTCGAAAAGCTGCAAACACAACAGATAGCAGAAGCATACTCCGCTCAACTTACCCAACTGCTTGACGAAAGCACCCCTTGTCCCGGTAATAATATAGAAACACAATGGCAGAGAATTGTCCACTCTCTACAAACTGCAGCAAATGCAACACTTGGGTACCAAAGACCACCATCAAGAAATCCGTGGTACGATCAGGAGTGTCGTAATGCTACTGATATGAAAAACGCAGCGTATAGGGCAACCCTGCGGACAGTAGCAACACGTAATGCGATGGAGAACTATCGGCAGAAAAGGAGAGAGGAGAAACGTATTTTCAGAAAAAAGAAGAAAGAACAAGAAAAACGTGAGCGTGAGCAAATCGAGATGTACAGGAATCAGAATGAAGTCCGAAAATTCTACCAACGGGTAAACACCAAACCGAAGGCTTTGGTGCTGGCACATCCTCCTGTAGAGATGAAGAAGGAAACCTGGTGATAGATACAGACAGTGTGCTGGGGATCTGGGTGGAGAATATTGAAAAACTTCAGGTATCAAATAGTAGCGGTGAAGAGGATACCCCACAACCAATAATAGATGACGGTGTATACCACCTACCCAAGATGAAGTCAGAACAGCAATCAATTGGCCAAAGAATAATAAAGCAACAGGTGCCGATGGGTTACAAGCCGAACTATTCAAGACTGGTGGTCAGATGCTGGTAAGGAGCATGCACCAGCTGATTAGTACAATTTGGCTAAAAGACAGCATGCCCAATGATTGGATCCTCAGCATCCTGTGTCCCGTGCACAAAAAAGGAGACAAGACGATATGTGCCAACTATAGAGGAATTAGCCTTCTTCCCATCGCACATTAAGTGCTATCAAGCGTGCTGTGTGAACGATTGAAGCCAATGATCAATGACATTATTGGACCATACCAATGCGGCTGCAGACCTGACAAATCCACCATTTATCAGATTTTCACTCTGCGCCAAATCCTGGAAAAACCCCACGAAAATACATCGACACATTCCACCTATTCGTTGACTATAAAGCCGCATTCGCCAGCCCGTTCAGAGGTGTTTAAAGTCATGTCTGCGTTTGGCATTCCTGCAAAATTAATACGGCTAAGCAGGATAACTTTAACTGGCACAAGATCAGCAGTTAAAGTCGGAAAGGACCTCTCAGAGCCCTTTAATACCGAACGAGGAATCAGACAAGGTGACAGTTTGTCGTATGAGAATTTTAACATCCTGGAATTTTAACAGACTGGTGGTCAGATGCTGGTAAGGAGCATGCACCAGCTTGGAACCTTAGCATCCTGTGTCCCGTCCACAAGGAGACAAGACGATATGTGTCAACTATAGAGGAATAAGTTTCGTTCCCATCGCATATAAAGTGCTATTCCGCGTACGGAAATGAAGCCAATGGTCAATGATATTATTGGATCATACCAATGCGGCTTCAGACCTGGCAAATCCACCATTGACCAGATTTTCACTCTGCGCCAAATCCTGGAAAAGACACACGAAAAACACATCGACACATACCACCTATTCGTCGACTATAAAGCCGCATTCGACAGCCCTATCCGTTCAGAGGTGTACAAAGCCATGTCTGCGTTTGGCATTCCTGCAAAATTAATACGGCTAAGCAGGATAACTTTAACTGGCACAAGATCAGCAGTTAAAGTCGGAAAGTACCTCTCGGAGCCCTTTAATACCGAACGAGGAATCAGACAAGGTCACAGTTTGTCGTGTGAGAATTTTAACAGACTGGTGGTCAGATGCTGGTAATTAGCATGCACCAGCTTGGAACCTTAGCATCCTGTGTCCCTGCTGCTTCATACCTGGCAAATCCACCATTGACAAGATTTTCACTCTGCGCCAAATCCTGGAAAAAACCCCACGAAAACACATCGACACATACCATCTATTCGTCGACTATAAGACCGCATTCGACAGCCCTATCCATTCAGAGGTGTACAAAGCCATGTCTGCGTTTGGCATTCCTGCAAAATTAACACGGCTATGCAGGATAACTTTAACTTGCGCAAGATCAGTAGTTAAAGTCGGAAAGTACCTCTCGGAGCCCTTTAATAACGAACGAGGATTCAGACAAGGTGACAGTTTGTCCTATGACCTTTTTAACATCCTGCTGGAAGAGGCAAAAGTGAACAGAAATGACACTCTGTACACCAAAAAACATGGGTCGCACATTGCGAGCGATAACAGCCACCTTTGAACAAATTGAGAAGTAGTCTGCCAGAGTGGGTCTGGCAGTATACGGCGAGAAGACCAAGCTGGTGGTACCAACGCGCAAGACGTCCAGTAGACTCGAACCAACTGTGGAACTTGAGAACTACAGTTTCGAGGTAGTTAAAGATTTTACATACCTTGGTACCGCCATAAATAACACGAATGACATCAGTTTTGAAATTCGGAGAAGGATTGTGATGGCCAACAGATGATACTATGGTCAGAGCAAACAAAAGCAAGACCACCTCCCGCCATACCAAACTCACACTCTACAAGACGCTGATACTACCCGTGCTGTTATATGGATCTGAAGCATGGGTACTTCCGCAAGCAGATGAGGCAGCTCTTGGAGTGTTTGAGAGAAAAATTCTCCGAAAGATTTATGGGGGCGATCTGCGATGACGGTGAACATCACCGTCGAATGAACCATGACTTGTACCAGCTATTTGAGAGAAAAATTCTCGGAAGGATCTATGGGCCGATCTGCGTTGATTGTGAATATCGCCGTCGAATAAACCATAAGCTGTACCAGCTATTCTGTTGATTTTTAAACAAAACGATTTTCAATAAAACCACAATTGGATATCTTAGTCCATTTATATTTTTGTATATATTATTAATTATTTTCATAATACATTTGAATATAGCTATTAACATATAATGTATGTATGTGTGTGTGTACTTTTAAGTTAAGCAATTTACTACATCTACAAATATAATAATTAATTTTATTTTATATATTTTTTGGAGAATCTAAAATTTTTGGAAAAACATACATAAAATTTATTTATTACAATTTTTCTTGGTCCCGCATAATTTCCTCCGTTGTCAAACAATTTAACATTTTAGGTTCGTGTCTTCACTTATTTCTCATTCAACTCCTCTTCCAAGGGATTCATAATAATGGAATGCTGTGAATTATCCGAATTATCAGGACTTATGGCATTCTGAGGGCTACGATCACCCTTGACATTTAAACTGGTCTGCAACATTTTGGCAATGCTGTCAACATCCAATGTCTCATCGGTGGCCGAAATTTTCCTCAAAGCCGAACAGACAATACTCAAGTCACCCTTCAGTTCGCTGACAACGGCTGTGATTTTCTGGGCATTCGATAGGACCTCAACACTTTGGGTGTAGGGATTGTAACGCACTCCAAACGGACGTTGAATGCTTTCAGCAAAGGCTCTACAGAAATAGAGAGAAAAGAAGGAAATTATAAAATCTCATTATTTCTCAGAGAGTGACATTTTTCTTACCTCATTTTCTCCTTGGCCTCCTCAAATGAATCCGTATAATAATAAGCATTCTGATACGATGTTATAATACATTCCTCCTTGCAGGTTACCTCGGGATCGAATTTCTTGATTTTCTCTTTGGTTGTAATGGCATGTTGCAGCTCGGCCACCGAACTAAGCAAACCGGCACCATAGACTTTAAAGGAGTTATCCGGTTGATGACAGAGACCAAATTCCACCGTGAAGAAGTAGAGCTGGAAAAATGAGGAGCTTAGCAATTGTTCGTCTTATTGAGAAATATAAAACCTACCGTAGCCAATTTTTCAATATCTGCATCGGATGCACCCAAAGAAGCCAGGCCAATTTCTTGAGAAAATTGAGCAAAACTGGGATTGGCCAGCAGAGGCATGTGGCCCAGGAGTTCATGGCAACAGTCGCTGTAAGATAGGATTATATTAAAAATATATATTTAAAAAAAGTAGTAAAGTCGGACTGGGTATATTATACGTATGTATCCTAACAGACGACGCGTTTTTGTTATATATTTATATCTGAACCGTCTTCAGGGAAACTTGCCAGAGACAAATTTGTAGCACATCAGTACGTTGTGTCAATCGGCCTAGCTATGGATCTTTTCACGAAGCTTAGCAACATCATTTTAGACTTATACCAAAATTCGTGCACCAATTGCCATAAAGCGAATGAAAATATATATGGGAGCTATATCTAAATCCGAACCGATTTTCACGAAACTTGGCAGACATCATTCTCGATTTTATTCATTACTCTGTGCCAAATTTCGTGCAAATCAAAAGACTCCCAGGGACTTTAGTGGACTATTTACCTAAAATTGGGCGAAATTATATATGGGAACTATATCTAAATCTGAACCGATTTTCACGAAACTTTGCACACATCATTCTAGACTTAATTTAGTACGCTGTGACAAATTTCGTGCAAATCGAAAGATATATTGGGACTTTGGTGCACCATTTACCATAAATCGGAAGAAAATATATATTGGAGCTATATCTAAATCTGAACCGATTTTCGCGAAACTTTGCACACATCATTCTAGACTTAATTTAGTACGCTGTGCCAAATTTCATGCAAATCGAAAGATATATAGGGTACACAATTTACGTTAAATCGGACGAAGATATATATGGGAGCTATATCTAAATCTGAATCGATTTTCGCGAAACTTAGCACACATCATTCTAGACCTAATTCATTACGCTGTGCCAAATTTCGTGCACATCGAAAGATATATAGGGACTTTGGTGCACCATTTACCTTAAATCGGACGAAAATATATATGGGAGCTGTATCTAAATCTGAACCGATTTTTCCCAATTTCAATAGGGTTCGTTCTTGGGTCAAACAAATGCGCTGTGCCAAATTTCATCCAATTCGGATCATAAATGCGACCTGTACTTTGTTTACAATTTAACATGGACAGACGGACGGACATGCATAAATCGACTCGGAAAGTGATTCTATGCATATTCTCAAAAGGAACCATGGGTCTATCTCGATTATTTTTGCCTGTTACAAACATATGCACAAAGACATAATACCCTGTACCACAGTGTGGTGAAGGGTATAAAAACCAGTGAGCGGAGCAGTATAGTCGGACGGGGTCGACAATACGATACCCTACACAACTACGACGGAGTTCTAACTTTCGGCGAAAGTTTATTCCGGGCCTGGGAAATATTTCGTGACATTTGCACCCTCTTGCCCGATTAGCCCTCTTCCGTACACTGACATTTTTTTCCGAATATTACTAATATTCAATAATAATAATATTCTAATTAATTGTCCAGATTGCCTTCAGCGTGGGTTGTATGACGATGATCGGCGTATAACAGTTGCCTATAGATCGATTCGAAAAATTACAAACAAATTTAGTTTTCGGTCCACTTCATCCGAAAATTATTATCAGATCATCACTGAAAATTATAAGCGCTGTCCTTGACCATAACTGGAATCCCATGGAAAATTTCAAATCGATCAGCTTTATATTCCCGTCCTCTAGTGTAGTAATGGTTTATTAAATAATATCTGAATACGTAAGCACCTGTAAATATTTAAGTGTAACTCCCACATCCGAGTGCATACGACTATATAATTGGTATCAATTTAAAGGTCAACCACTCCTCTTGGATATACTATCAACTCTTCGGGTCTATGCCTTCAGGAGTAAGCAAATTTCGTCATTTTTCACACAAAAGTCAGGGTCCATTTGACCCACTAAATATTGACCGATCTTTATCAAAACTGGCATGCTTATTCTTTGGGCCGATCCCCTTCTCCATGACGATGTTCGGGTCTAGGACCAATATTTCGCGGAGTTACAAAATCTTGGGGCTGCACAAAGCTATAATACCCTGACAGCATAGTTGTGTAAGAAATCAAGATTTAAAAATTTTTTTTTTTAAATTTTTTAAAAAAATATTTTTTCCAAGACTTATTTTTAGGCGTGGATTTTTAATCGCGTTATTAAAAAAACTAATGATGTTTACTTACGGTTCCGGTGTATAAAATGGATCCGATGAATGCCTTATGTACTGAGTACAGTGGAATACACGAAACGCCAAACCAGATAAGAAATCTCTTGGCGATAAATAACCCGCAACTGGTCTCAACTGGAAACCTGTCTTTCTCTTCAAATATGTACTGACATCCTGCAATTGGGGTATATTATCCTCACGATAGCCACAATATTTAACCAATTCCGGCCAATTTTCCATATATTCGGGGACAGCATATTTTACGTACAAACGATGTAGTTCATTGAAAACGGTACCCCTGATTTGAAAAAATAAAATGGATTTTATTATTGGAAGTTTTGTGTTTTTTTTTTTCTTTTGATATGGGTTTTACCAAGTTTTAATTTCCTCTGGGGTATACTGGACCCTAGGTATGGGATTTCCGCTTAAGAAAAAAAATAGTAAACATTGTTTATATTTTAAAAAATTTTAAATAAAGTATTTTTTTTTCAAAGGTCATTGTTTTATGGCCCTAAATTTATACATTAAAAATTTTTATCCAGAGAAGGACCTTTCGGTTTCCACTATATACCCTTTTCCACTCATTCCAACATCGTGAAAAATAAATTTCCAATCCCAGAACTTACTGTTTAAAATTCATCGCAATTGAATAGAATTTCTCACGACGTTTACGATAGACGGGATCCTTGAATCCCGGATGGTCAGCATCCAATTCCGAACCATACATCAACACATTTTGAGCCTTGTCCAAATCGGAAATTTTGCGAGGAAACCACATCATGTCACCGAAATCTGAAAATCAGCACATATGTATATAACAGAAGTCCCAAAACATATTGAATGAATTACCCACCAAAACTTGAACATGCCGACAATGATGGCGCCCGAACCAATGCACTTTTATCCACCGATGTAAAATTCACGGAATGCACTTCACGATTCAACATCTGCAGGACTTGATCCAAACGTTTTGGGTCACATTCCACATCAACGACAACATCGGCCTAAAAATAAAAAATTTCAGGTGTGGATTTTTTAAAAATTATTGCTAGGGGACGTGGATTTTTATACCCTTCACCACACTGTGGTACAGGGTATTATGTCTTTGTGTATATGTTTGTAACAGGCAAAAGGAAACGAAAAAGACACATGGTTCCTTTTGAGAATATGCATAGAAACTCTTTCTAAGTCGATTTATGCATGTCCGTCTGTCTGTTGGTTTTAAATTGTACACAAAGTAAAGGTCGCATTTATAATCCGATTTGGCTGAAATTTGGTACAGCTCATTTGTTTGGCCTAAGGACGAACCTTATTGAAATTGGGGAAAATCGGTTCAGATTTAGATATAGCTCCCATATATATTTTCGTCCGATTTTATGTAAATGGTGCACCAAAGTCCCTATATATCATTAGATTTGCACGAAATTTGGCATAGCGTACTCAATAAGGTCTAGAATGCTGTGTGCTGAGTTTTGTGAAAATCGGGTCAGATTTAGATATACCTCCCACTTAATTTTTCGTCCGATTTTATGTAAATGGTGCACCAAAGTCCCTATATATCATTAGATTTGCACGAAAATTAGCATAGCGTACTCAATAAGGCCTAGAATGCTGTGTGCTGAGTTTTGTAAAAATCGGTTCAGATTTAGATATACCTCCCACTTAATTTTTCGTCAGATTTTATGTAAATGGTGCACCAAAGTCCCTATATATCATTAGATTTGCGCGAAATTTGGCACAGCGTACTCAATTAAGTTTAGAATGATGTGTGCCGAGTTTAGTGAAAATCGATTCAGATTTAGATATAGCTCCCATATATATTTTCATCCGATTTTATGTAAATGGTGCAAAAATGTCCCTATATATCATTCGATTTTCACGAAATTTGGCATAGCGTAGTGAATTGAGTCTAGAATGATGTGTGCAAAGTTTTGTGAAAATCGGTTCCGATTTAGATATAGCTCCCATATGTAGTTTCGTCCGACTTTATATAAATGGTGTACCAAAGTCCCTATATAGCTTTCGATTTGCATGAAATTTGGCACAGCGTACTGACTTGAGCCTAGAATGATGTGTGTACAGTTTCGTGAAAATTGGTTCCGATTAAGATATAGCTCCCATATATAGTTTTGTCCGATTTTATGTAAAAAATGGTGCACCAAAGTCCCTATATATATATTTCGATTTGCGCGAAATTTAGAATAGTTTACTGAATTGAATCTAGAATTATGTCTACTTAGCTGCGTAAAATCGGTTCAGATTTAGATATTTAGATATAGCTAAAGTGTGCATTAAAGACCCAAAGTTTGTACGATTATTATTCAATTTCATATCAATTTTCTTTCGAAAAAGGCGGAGTCTGTTAGAAGACATATGAAGAATATACCCAAAGTGGTGAAGTGTATCATATAGTCGGCCCAGACCGACTTTACTACTTTTCTTACTGGTTTAAAACAAAAATGTTTCTATGGTCTATTTTTAGGCGTATATTTAAAAATATTTTTCCTGGTCTATTTTTAGGAGTGTATTAAAAAAAAATTATCGAAGTCTATTTTTAGGCGTGTATTTAAAATTCTTTTGTGATCTATTTTTAGGCGTGGATTTTTTAAAAATATTTGTATGGAATTTCAATAGGCCTCATTATACCCTACACAACTATGTTGTCAGGGTATTATAGCTTTGTGCAGCCCCAAGAGTTTGTAACGCCGCGAAATATTGGTCCTAGACCCACCTTTAAGTATACCGATTGTCATATTTCGACTAGCTGAGTCGTTCTAGACATGTGTGTCCGTCCGTCTGTCCATTATAATTTGTGAACACGATACAGGCCACAATTATGGACCAATATTCACGAAATTTTTCATTTAGGATGGGTTCTGGCCTATGAAGACCCCTATTGTTTTTGGTAAAGATCGGATAATATTTAGGTGATGAAATGGACCAAATACTTAATTTTTTCGTCTATTCTGGTCGCTCTAGAGGCCGCAATTATGATCCGAACATCGCGAAATTTTACATGGAGATGGGGATCGGGCCAAAGAATAAGCATGCCTATTTTCATAAAGATTGGTCATAATTTAGCCGTTCAAATGGACCCTGACTTTTGTGTGAAAAATGGCAAAGACCCAGAAGTTGATATTATGTCCAAGAGGAGTGGTTGACCTTCAAATTGATGCCAATTATATTGTCGTATTTACTCTGATGCGGGAGTTACACTTAAATATTAACAGGTGCTTACGTATTGTGGTATTATTTAGTAACCCATTACCACATTAGATGACGGAAATATATCCATGACCGCTTTGAAATGTTCCATGAGGTTCTAGTTAACTCCTATAATTTTCGGTGATGATCTGATAAAAATGTTGGGATGAAGTGGAACGAAAACTTTTTTTTTGTGTTTTTTTGGAGTCGATCCATATGCCACAATTATAAGCCGAACATCACAATACAACAAACGGTGAAGGAAATCTGGACAAGTAATTAGGGATGAACTGAGTATTGGGAATATTCGGAAAATATGTCAGTGTAAGGAAGAGGTGCTATTGATCTCTAATCGGTCAGGATGTTGCAAATATCTCAAAATATTACCCAGACTTGAAGAAAACATTCGCAGAAAGTTAGATTTCCGTAGTAATTGTGTAGGGTATCATATGGTCGGCCCCGTCCGCCTATACTACTCCGCTCACTGGTTTAAAAATATTTGTTCAGGGACTTACAATAGGAGTGAATTTTTTTGGGGACTAAGGCAATAGACGTGCATCTTTTTAAATTTTTTTTCAGGGCTTGCAATAGGCGTGGAAGAAAATTCTCACTTATACCCTTATCAAATTCTCGCTATAATCCCTAAACATATATTACTAAAAAATCCACGCCACTTTGTCCTTTAAAAAATGTATATTTACAAAAATTAATATCAAAGCAATCCAAGCCTCCAGTCCTATAAAAATATATTTTGTCAAAAACATCTACGCCAAAAGTCCCCTAAAAATCCCACCAATATTCCTCTTCAAATTTGCTGTCCTCTTCTCATTTTTCTTACCTGATTGGTGGTATTCTCCAATGGCGACAGCTCCAAGTGCAACACATTTATACCCAATTCCTGAAAGACCTGCAGAGCTCGAGCCAAATTTCCAACTTGATTTTTCAGAGTAAAAATTATCGATACACGATCGCCGGGCGAACATGGTGCCGGTGGATTGACCATATCATTGGCATTCAACGCCGTTTTGCTATTCAATCCAGGATTTTCCTGGGGAGGTAACAAGACAACAATGTTACTTCGATCAGTACCATTGCGGGACTGTAACTTTGTACATGGTAAGTCTTTATTGGTGCTAGCACTTACAATCTGGTCGACGGAATCTTTTTTGTTGCGTGGTCCATGCAATGGACTGCCCTGTTTGACAGCCCATTCCTGTTCACCACTGCGATAGAGCCACAGACCCAATAGACTTTTACCAGATGCACTCATTTTTGATTCTTTTTTCTTTTAATTTTTTTTAAATTTAATTTTAGATTTTCAATTAAAAATATTTTTTTTTTCAAAACTTTTTATTTCAATTTTGTTTTTATTTGGGCACTTGGATCCACCGTCGACCGTAAACACCACAACGTTCGCCACGACTCTTCAATAACAACTGAAAGAGTCCTGCATAGCCTGTGTGGCTTTTATATCATTTGCTGGAGCATCACACAACTTCAGTTTAGACAGACACACACACACACACTCCTATACATATAAACATGAGATAACATAAGTTGTTAGAATATATCTTTAACATTTAGCCAACTTTGGCATATATACATTTGTACTTACATACATATATAAATATTCATTGGCGTTACTGAATCCCACCCCTCCATTCCATTTATTTTAGTCAAAATCAAATATTCATTCTTATGTGAGTGTGTCTGTGTGTGTGTATCTTAAAAAGTTTTTTTGTAACACTTGTTGCAAGTTCAAAACATGATTCATTCATTTATTTATCCTCTTCATATAGAGACTTCCTTCAGATCCTTAAAGACTTCCCTAAGATCGTCTAATTAAGCTGAAGGTGAACCAAAAATAGGCGTGGATTTTTTTAAATATTTATTCTAGGACTTCAAATAGCATGGACATTTAAACCAGTAAGGAAAGTAGTAAAGTCGGACGGGGCCAACTATATGATGCCCTTCACCACTTTGGGTACATTCAACAGATGAATCCTAACAGACGTCGCATTTTTGAAGGACCAGTAAAATGAAATTGAATCCATAAACATGCCATTCTGCAACCGATACTAAATTTTTCATTTGTTCAGATATAGAAGCTAAATCTAAATCTGAACCGATTTCAGGAAACTTAAAACACATTACTCTATACCTAATTCATTACGCTGTGCCGAATTTCGAGCAAATCGAAAGATATGTAAGGACTTTAGTGTACCATTTATGTAAAATCGGACGAAAATATATATGGGAGCTATATCTTAACCTGAACCGATTTTCAGGAAACTTAGCACACATCATTCTAGACTCAATTCAGTACGCTGGGAGTTATATCCAAATCTGAATCGATTTCCAGGAAACTTGACACACATCATTGTAGACCTAATTCATTACGCTGTGCCAAATCTCGTGCAAATCGAAGGATATAAAGTACCTTTGGTACACCATTTACCTTAAATCTGACGAAAATATCTATGGGAGCTATATCCAAATCGGAATAGATTTTCAGGAAACTTAACTCACATCATTCTAGTCCTTATTCAATACGCTATGCCAAATTTCGTACAAATCGAAAGATATATAGGGACTTTGGTACACCATTTATATTAAATCGGACGAAAATATATATAGGATCTATATCAAAATCTGAACAGATTTCCACGGAACTTAACACACATCATTCTAGACTTTATTCAGTACGCTATGCCAAATTTCGTGCAAATCGAAGGATATAAAGTACCTTTGGTACACCATTTACCTTAAAACGGACGAAAATATATATTGGACCTATATTCAAATCTGAATCGATTTTCAGGAAACTTGATACACATCATTATAGACCTAATTCATTACGCTGTGCCAAATTTCGTGCACATCCAAGTATAAAAAGTACCTTTGGTACACCATTTACCTTAAATCGGACGAAAATATATATGGGAGCTATATCCAAATCTGAATCGATTTTCAGGAAACTTACCTCACATCATTCTAGTCCTTATTCAAAACGCTGTGCCAAATTTCGTGCAAATCGAAAGATATATAGTGACGTTAGTACACCATTTATATTAAATCGGACGAAAATATATATGGGAGCTATATCCAAATCTGAATCGATTTTCAGGAAACTTAATACAAATCATTTTAGACCTAATTCAGTACGCTGTGCCAAATTTCGTATAAATCGAAAGATATATATTGACTTTGGTACACCATTTATATTAAATCGGACGAAAATATATATGGGAGCTATATCTAAATCTGAACCGATTTTCACGAAACTTAACACACATCATTCTAGACCTAATTCATTACGCTGTGCCAAATTTCATGCAAATCGAGAGATATATAGGGACTTTGGAGCATCTTTTACATTAAATTGAACGAAAATATATATATGGGAGCTATATCCAAATCTGAATCGATTTTTAGGAAACTTGACACACATCATTGTAGACCTAATTCATTACGCTGTGCCAAATTTCGTGCAAATCGAAAGATATGTAGGGACTTTGGAGTACCATTTACAAAAAATCGGACCAATATACATATATACAGGAGCTATATCTAAATCTGGACCGATTTTCACGAAACTGAACACACATCATTCTAGACTTCATTCAGTACGCTGTGCCAAATTTCGTATAAATCGAAATATATATAGAGACTTTGGTGCACCATTTACGTAAAATCGGTCGAAAATATATATGAGATCTATATCTAAATCTGGACCGATTTTCCCCAATTTCAATAGGGTTCGTCTTTGGGCCAAACAGATGAACTGTACCAAATTTCATCCAAATCGGATTATTATACGCGACCTGTACTTTGTTTACAATTTAACATCAACAGACGTACAGACGGACGGACGGACATGCATAATTCGATTTAGTAAGTGATTCTATGCATATTCTCAAAAGGAACCATGGGTCTCTCTCGTTTTCTTTTGCCTGTTACATACATATGAACAAAGACATAATACTCTGTACCACAGTGTGGTGAAGGGTATAAAAATAGGCGTGGATTTTTTAAAACTACTTTTCAAGGACTAAAAATAGGCGTGGATTTTTTAAAACTCTTTTTCAAGGACTAAAAATAGGCGTGGATTTTTTAAAACTACTTTTCAAGGACTAAAAATAGGCGTGGATTTTTTAAAACTACTTTTCAAGGACTAAAAATCGGCTTGGATTTTTTAAAACTACTTTTTAAGGACTTAATATAGGCGTGGATTTTTTAAAACTACTTTTCAAGGACTAAAAATCGGCTTGGATTTTTTAAAATATTTTTTAAGGTCCACAAAAGGCGTGGATTTTTTAAAAATATTTTTTAAGGTCTACAAATAGGCGTGGATTTTTTTTAAATATTTTTTAAGGTCCACAAATAGGCGTGGATTTTTTTAAATATTTTTTAAGGACTAAAAATAATATTTTTTAAGGACTAAATATAGGCGTGGATTTTTTTTAAATATTTTTTAAGGACTAAATATAGGCGTGGATTTTTTTAAATATTTTTTAAGGACTAAAAATAGGCGTGGATTTTTTTAAATATTTTTTAAGTACTAAAAAAAGGACTAAAAATAGGTGTGGTTTTTTAAAAAATAATTTCAAATTTTATTAAATTCGTATTTGCTTCATTCATCTTCGTCTGGCAATGGGTTAATTTCTTAAGACAACTTTAGTGGTCCAATATCTCAACCTCAAACGCACACACTCACACACTTTACCAATACATTGCCATTACAAAAACAGTAACACTTGTTGACTGTTGCTCTACATCTTTTGTCTTCGGCCAACCTTCCACCTCTTGCGTTTGCTTGTCATCCTGACTCAATGCCGCCGCCTTCTAAATAAACTACGTGGGCGACTGGGCGACAGGGGTTGGGGGTGTAAATGAGCCGTCTGTATGCGATATGTAAACCATGTTTGATTGGCTAAATCAACAGGAAAAACAGTCTCTCTTTAAAACTTGACTTCATGGCTTTGATTCGATTGTTGGTGGCTGCGTGACGTCAGCATTTGAGGCAGTTGCGGCTGTGGGTCTCCGTTGCGGATCATTTCCTTTTCTTGGTCTTCTTGAGGCACACATACATACATACATAAATGCATAGTTACAAATATGGACCAGTAGTGGTAGTAGAAGTTGTTAAAGTTTTCTATTTGCTTTTCTGCTGCTTCATCCTCCTCCTCCTCCTGCCCTTCCGATTTGTATGAAGAACATGAAAGTGACTCTTTTTTTCTGCATCAATCACAAAGTGACACAATTAAATATACGGGTTAGAAAGATTGCCGTAATCGTCTAGTTTTCAAATACACTTTGAAGAGATATGACTTGTTAAAGAGTTCGAATTGACAACAACAACAACCCGCATTTGTATTTAAAGGGAAGGGCGGGAAGTCCTGTGATTTTCCACAGATTGCATTTATTCGTAACTTTAATAGCTTCCTATTAAAGTCCATAGCACTCAAGTTTATTTTAGTGAATGGAAAATAAACAAACAAAAAAATCATATTAAATACGTCTGTCCTGACAGACTTTGAAATATGAGGGTCTTGCTGAAGAAGAAAGCCACTCATCCTCTTGAGGGGGAATGTAAAAATATCCTGGCTATTGCATATTAATCAGTTGTTTGATTTTATCGTTTACACCTGAATACGAATCAGATAAATTACATGAAAACACATATATCTAAGCATGTGTGGGTAGGGGTTTATCTCTAACTCTCTATGGACGAGCTGTAGGATGTAGAAGTGTGGAATATTTTAAAGAAATTCCAAACATATTTTTTTAAAATCCACGCATTATTGTTATGTCAAAAAATATATATTTTTTTAAATCCCCATCTCTTAATAGTTGTTAAAGGCTGCCCCCATTCTGGCCACATCTTCGCCTGCATATAAGCAGGACAATCGTTAAGTAGTTTTCGTGTCCTGTTTTCAGATATCGTTTTTATACCCTACACCACACTGTGGTACAGGGTATTATGTCTTTGTGAATATGTTTGTAACAGGCAAAAGGAAACGAGATAGATGCAAGGTTCCTTTTGAGAATATGCATAAAATCACTTTCTAAGTCGATTTATGCATGTCCGTCCGTCCGTCTGTAGATGTTAAATTGTAAACAAAGTACAGGTCGCATTTATGATCCGATTTGGATGAAATTTGGCACAAGTCACTTTTTTGGTCCAAGGATGAACCATATTGAAATTGGGAAAAATCGGTTCAGATTTAGATATAGCTCCCATATATATTTTCGTCCGATTTAATGCAA